AAAAATAACTGTCACAAACGAACCAAGTTAAAACTTAGAAGCAACTGGCATGGAATTTTGTTTATTTATTAATAATTTTCAAAGAAAAAATTATTATTTTATTGCTTTTTTTAATTAGCGATCGGAAGGAGTCCTATGAAAAAATCTTTTCTTCCATGCTGGCCCACATGTAATGTGACCGGCTTTTCATTTCCTCGGATTCGGATCCGCTTTAACGATCATATAACTGCTTTCATATGAATATATATCAGTTGAAGTCCGAAATTGCTCAAGATATTATGAGCTTTAAAATAACTCATTATTTTTTAAATCAGTGAAATTCAATTCTCCGTTAAATAAATTTATTATAAGCTTGAATGTTTATATTAATAAAAAAAATAAAAATAAATGATATAGTTCCAATATTATGTTGAAGATTTGAATAATTTGCCATTTTTCATAGTTGGAGATTGGAGTTGTAAAGGTCTTTTTTTCGTTGTCATTCTAAAGCGGATGATGTTGATGACAGACGGCGAATGCCAGTCGACATTGACATCGATTAATGATTAATGTTTCGTTTGGGATAATTTTTTGACTAATTTTTAAAACAGTGTTTTAGTATAAAATTTTAATTTTTGACTTAATTTGTTTTAAGAAATGATAAAAAAGTCGTATCAAACGAAGCCCGGTGGACAATAATGTTAGGAGGAGCAATGACAAGCTTCAATATAGATAAATTGTTGTTGTTAGAGAACAAATGATGATGATTTTCAGTATCTGTCAATGACTGCCACCTACAATAGAGTAATGATGTGTTCATCGTATTTGATCTTATTAACGAATGCTGGCATTTGAAATCTGATGATGGAAGTTGGTCGACATAATCATCCTATTTGTCAAAGGAAAACTTGGCAATTACAAAGCGAACTAGCCTGAACTTTCAAAATTAAAAATACAAGTGTTTGAGATTTCAAATAATAATTTTTTTTACATAGTTTTAACTAATTTAAATGACAAATTTTTATAATTATTGTTGCGTCCAGGAGTATTCGTGGCGGCGGTAGAGAAATATAAAGTTTAACTTCTTAGCGTTGTACGAAAATCCAGCACGCAATCAGATAAGAGAAATGGTCTATTATTTATGAGACACCAAGATTTTTACGTGGAAAACCCCTAAAAAGGGGGAAAAACCACGGGGCCTAGCCCAGTTTGAATGAGTCCACCAGTATTGTTGTCGATTACAAATGAGGCTTTTCCTTGGGGGAAGGCCTGGGCTTGATGTACATTATATGAAGTACATTACATGTTGGAAATACAAAGGGTCACTGTTGACATGTTCGTTTGGTCGGGAGGAATATAGTCTGGTGACAGAGGTCAGAAGAATCGTAGTCGGCAGGCGACGAAGGTCATAAAGATCGTTGTATGCGAACGACGTAAGTTAGGAGGACCGTAGTCGGCTGGCGACGGAGGTTGGAAGGACCGTAGTCGGTAGGCGACGTAAGTCAGAAGGACCGTAGTCGGTGGGCGACGAAGGTCGGAAAGACTGTAGTCGACGGGCGACGTAAGTCAAGAGGACCGTAGTCGACGGGCGACGGATGTCAGAAAGATTGTAGTCGGCGGGTGACGTAAGTCAGGAGGATCGTAGTCGGCTGGTGACGGAGGTCGGAAGAACTGTTGTCTGACGACGAATGTCAGAATGACGGCGTCAGGTAGAAGTCCAACAATGGAAAGGAATCCATCTTCGGATAGACGTCCAGCGAAAGTCCGATAACAGGTAGAAGTCCGGCGTCAGGTAGAAACTTGGCGATGAGTGAAGGTCCGGTGTTGGATAGAAGTCTGACGTCTGTTGGTGGCCGAGGAGAACTCCGGTATCACTTGGGTGGAGTTTCGGCGTCAGGGGGGGAACTCTGTTATTACTTGGGCAGAATTTCAACATCTCGTGGAAGTTAGGTAGAATTCTAGCATCCCGTGGAAGTCGGGCGGAATTCCGGTGTCATTTGGAGTCCGGGCGGAACTCCGACGGTGGTCGAGGAGGAGTCTCTTCCCTCCTATTCTTCTCTTCTTCTTCTCCTCCTTCTTGCTTGGTCTCCTTCTCAAGAGAAATGAGGGATCTATTTATAGATTTTCAGGAGTGGCATAGCTTGTAAATAGGTGTGAGATCAGGGGCAAATAGGGAGTGGTCGAATGAACGGTTGATATTGAATCCCTTGATCGTGCACAGTTCGTCAGACATTTGAAGGTCTTAATGATGTTGGAATTCGGCGATCTTGGGCTAATTGGATTTGTCTCGTCGAGCCGTTCGATTCGACTATAAGCTCTTTAAAATCGGAGATCGTTTGGTAACTCAAATTGCGGTATGAACTTTCCAACAGTGCTTCGGGTCTTCAATTCGGACCCATTTGGGCTCGGATTGAGTTGAATTTGGTGTCGTTGGGTTCATATTCCTGAGACGATCAGTTCAATTGTAAGTTTGTTGAAATCGGAGTTCAGGTGATTCCGGATTTAATTTTTGAAGTTTCTGACTTGATTTTTGCCTCGAGATTCATGCCTGATCAAGATAATTTTTTGACGACGTATCAATTACAATCAAAATCATAATATTGATTCTCTTAAAACAAATTTATACTTTTGAAATAAAATTTTGGGGAATTTAAATATATAGAACTAAAAAATCTACTATTTACATAATTAATATGTAAACTTCAACATTTACATATATACTTCTCAAAACTTCTAAAAGCATATGAAATAACTCATAAACTGATCACCCTCTCTAATGTCTCACCACAACAAGCTTTGTCGCCCTTTGCCAAAGAGATCCGTCACCTTTCACACATAGTCGTTTTCTTCATCCTTCTTCTCACACACCATTGGTCCTTTATCCTCCTTCACCCGTTAAGGGTCCTTCCCCAATGATCCTATTGCAAGGTTTTATCTTGATTTCTTTTTCTACATTCTCCACAGGTCACATGGAACGGGCCTGTCTAAGCAGGGAATCAGAAGAAATTATTACGTGCAAAATTTGGATGTAGCTTTATATTTGACCTTTCAATTAAATGAAGACACGTGTATTTTTTTCCTAGTGTGACTCAATGATCCGACTCAAAGTGTGTATAAATTCTCCTTATATGCATACAGTGTACAAGTTATACACAGTGTGTATATACGGGCTGGGTCATCGGGTCACGTTAAAGCTATGTGTCTTCATTTAATTCGAGTCCAGATACAGAGCTACATCCGGAATCTACACGTAACAATTTCTTAAGAATGAGGGGCTTGGTGGTTGAAGCAACTTTAAGTTAGATCCGTCTTGTCTTCCCTAAAAAAATTGATGGTAATTTTGTTATGTTAATAGTGAACTTTAGGTGTTAAACGTGAAAATGATAATATTTGTGTGCAATGTATGTAAGTTACACTAAAAGTTTTTGTTATGTATTTGTTCCTAGATTTAGGATTGCTTTAGTTTAGGTTTCTTGTATAGCATAGTGTATTCATTTGTGTTGCTTTGTATAGCTTTAGGAGTCTTTAGCTTGTAATAGGTAAGGCAAAGAGAAATAAAGTTTGCATAGTTTTTGGCTCTCCTCCCTCTCCTCTCTCCCTCCTCCTCCTCTCTCAAGATCCGGTGGAAGTGCTTCTTCCACAAGGAAAGTATCTCACAGTTTTTAGGGGGATTTATATAGCGTCTAAAAATTAGGCTTTACATATAACATATTTAACATATAAATTTTGGAATTTATATAATATAAAACTTAGTCTAAGTACAATTATGAAACCCTCGAGGATAAGAAGTTTTGATACGGATCTAACAAGAAAGGTCAGTTGCCGAAAATTGGAAGTTGAGAGTAGATCTTGTGGGATGCGTCAAATGCAAGACATTTACATCTTACAACATCTTTGTTTTATTCGATTGAATCTCCTCGCCATAAATCCGTTGTGTATCACTTGATGTTGGCCTTCACACCTCTCGTGATTGCCATTTCGACTTTGTTAGCCTCTATCCGATTCGCTTAGTCTCATTTGCTCGAACTCATTGCTATTTGATGTAGGATCCTGCACTAGAAAAACTTCAAGTAAAACAGATTAAATCAATAGAACAGTAAAGTTCTAGCAAGCTGCCGTGAGCTGGTAATTTCTATTCCAAAGTAAAAACTGCATATCTCCTCTTCTTCACTTCCTAAGTAATTCTTCTCAACAGAGAAGAACCAAAATTGGTTAGCCATATGCAAAGCTAACACAAGGGCTGCTGAACTAAAAACAGAAATAAAGTGTTAGCACTATTCTAGAATAGCAGAAATGAAAATATAATAATACTATACTAATAAGCTGCACCCCCGGCACCCATAACTATCGTGCTCCGCAAATACCGAGTTTCAGGTGACGTGGCGCGTGATTATTCGTCTCTGAACGCGTTAGGTGACCTAACGTAATAATTGCTCCGAGTAATGAGCCTCATAAACGACCTTAAAAGCAGAAGAGACAACGAATGCCACACAGATAACGAATGCCACACAGATGATATATGCTTTTAATACAACAAATATAATCTCATGATCGGTAGCTAAAAAATCAGCTGCGAAATAGAATTGAAGAGCATTGATTGAATGATAAGTTACTTGCTTATATTAAAAAATATATTTTATATAATGTTGATAATAAAATAATCATTTAATTCTTTCAGAATATTAATAGTCGACGTTATAAACCGTAAGTTGTTTATTATTTAATATTTAATAATCTATCTTCTTAAATAATACTTTGAAAAAAAAAATTAAAACTATCCATGCCGGTTCCAAGTCCGATTAAAAAATTTGAGGAAAAATTTAAAAGAAAAAAAAAAATTTAGGCCCCCCTACATACATTTTCTGCTCCGCTACTGTGTAAGCCCCTTAAAATTTTAAGTGTTATATTTGTAAAAAATGAATTTGAGTCGTATACTAAAGCGAATAATTCTCGGGGTATTGAGGTGGACTCTTATTTATGTAGATAAATAATAATAATAATAATAATAATAATTAGACATAGCTCCGGATAAGTGGGTTTCTCCGCTTACCCCTCTTTATAGCTGCAAAGTTGCATACTCTTCCTCTGCCCACTATATAGATCTATGCTGTGAGAGCTTGAATTGCAGGTGAGGAGCTGTCGGCTCAAGGTTCATCCATTCTGCGAACGAAGAAGAGAGGTGACCAAGCGCTGAAGGATGAGTGAAGAAGAGGTAAAGAAGGTGGAGGCCGGAGGAGAGGCAGCTGCAGCAACTGCAACGCCGCCGCCGGAGCTGCCATCGTTGGAGCCGGCAAAGGATGTGACGGAGGAGAAGGCGGTTATACCGCCGGTGCTGGAGGAGAAGGTCGACGACTCGAAAACTCTTGCTATTGTGGAGAGTAAGGGCTCAAAGCTGTTCTTTTTTTTAGCGCCATCTCCTCTGTTGTTTTCTTCTCGTTTTTAACCAAAATGTTATTTTAATCATTTTTTTTTCATTTCTTAATTCTTGCTTATCTCTTGAATTCTCTACATGGTTTTGTTGTTACGTTGAGGAATTCGTAATTTTTTTTTTTGTAATTAATTTCGGTTGAAGGAAAGTAATTTTAGGTCTTGTGTGGATTCCTTGTTTCCCTTTTTAAAGGTCAAAAAAAAACTTGTTAGATTGTGACGGTTTGTTGTTATGCTTTTGGAATAAAGCCTTTAAGGAAATTATATCTTTCTTGAATTTATATTTTGTGAATAAACTTATCTGCTTGATCAGAGTGAACTAATATTTTCTGTTCTCTATTGCTACCAATTGAAAATAACTAAAGAAGATCGATCATCTAGACATGTTTTTTTTTTTATTTAACAAAAGGAAAATGAATCCAAACCTCACCAAATAATTCCAAGCGCAAACAAAATTTTTTATTTTTATTTTAACTAGCTAAGTTTATTAATGATGGGATTTTTTTTATCTGTTTTTTGTTGGATTTCAATTTGTATTGTGACAAATAATCTTCTTCACAACTTAATGTTTCAGAGATTTTTTTTGGGCTATACTTTGGGAGAGTTTTGAATCTTGAGTTCTACTCTTCTATGAGTATGTTAATTGTAGGGGGTTCTTCTCTTATATGATTGTGTTAATTGTAGGTGGCGCTGTATGAATTTCTATATGGGCCATTATTTTGTGCAACCATATTGTAGTATTATTGATGTTAACAAAGACAAACTAACAAGTTTCAAATTTTAAGGCTGTTTTTGGATGCTAGTAATTTGTGTGTAAGGAAATGAAAAAAAAAAAGGGTAAAAAGCTCATTTCAATTACTGTAATTTCATTATCGATTCACATGTTCTTCTATGAGTATTATGCTTTTCTTTTAATGGCCAACATTCTGCACCATAAGGCATTGTAGGTCTCACTACCATCTTATAGGATTTTTCCTTAAGTTTGAGAGGGACTTTTCTATCACACAACAAGGACGATGCATTTCTCCGCTTCAACCATCCAACTTGAATTCTACTAGATTAGAGAGAGCCGCCTTAGAAGGTTTGGTCACATAAAACTGTAGCCTTTAGATGGCCCGATTAGGAAAGTAGATGTTTTATATTTGACTTATGTTAAGAAAGATAATTGTAAATCTAAAAAGACTTGGTTAGAAAATATTAGAAATGACCTTTTTTTATTAGAGTTAGATAAAAATTTGACTCTTAACAGGACACAATGGAGAAAAAAGATTCATGTAACCAACCCCACATAGTAGGATAAAGGTTTGTATTTGTTGTTGTTGTTTTTTCGTGTTACTTTCCTTCAATCCAAACAAAGGTTAGCGCTCTTTCTCTTATATATTTATTTCCCATTTTAGATTTGTATTAAATTGGCTAAGTATAGCAGCAAACCTTACCAAAGAATTCCAAAATTGGAATTTTTTATGTATAATAACTCAGATATTCTGGAAATGTTGATGGTTTTACCAAAATCAATGAGGCATATTTCTTATATATCTATTGCATTTTTTTAATATATAGACTTAATAAAATTTTAGAATTAATTATATTAGGATTTACATATTTAACACTTAAATTTTCATTATTTATGTGCATAGCATACAAAACATCACAATAAAATAAAAAATAACACTTGTCCTTACCATCCTTTCATGACGCAGCCTGATCTTGTCACCCTTCATAGCTAGTCCCATTGCCCTCCATAGGTCACTAGTGACTACCAATTCAGCCTACCTTCACACAACACCAATCCTACTAATCTCCAATAATGACTACCTCAGTCGTGTTCGTATTTTCCAGCCATTGCCTTTGCCATGTTTTCACCTCTGGTCACTACCTCCTCCAAATTTGGTGAACTACTGCCTAGAGTTGCTTGGCCGACCAAGATAGTCCACCTCTTCTCACCTCGTGTTTAGTGAGATCCATTAACTTTGTTAATAGTGTTAGATGATGTAAATAGTAAAGTTTATGTGTTAAATTATAAATCCTAATGTTTCAAGTACCATGTATGTAAATATCTATTAGTCTTATGTGGAATCAAACTGTATCGATCATTCAAGTTGTACTATTGTCTTAGACTTAAATACTATCGGTTGAGCTTGCTGGGAGGTTGTACAGGGGCAGCTCCTCCTGCTTGGGGTTTGGGGGCTTTGCCCCGCCCCGAATTTTTTTTTCCTATTAATATAGCCATTTAATGCTATAACGATGTAGACTCAACCGCTGCAACATTGTATACTCACACACTGTGTTGTTGGAGTCTCAGGTTGGAGACAGAGCAGAGAGCTACAAAACTGTAGGTTGTATCCTGTGTAGAACGAAAGGAGAAATGAACATAGACAAGGAGAGAGTGAGAAAAGAGAGATCTGCACAATTTCTCTCATTTTCATTGTGAATTTTTTGGTGTGTTGTGGCTTCATTTTTTTTTTTCCGGATTTTCCGCGTTAAATTTTGGTTTGCTTTTCTATTGTTTTCTTTTCTTATTTGTTTCATTTTGTGATTTACTTAACAATGTCCTCTTTAGAATTTATTTATTTCAGAGTTAGTTCATTGTAACTAAACTAATAAGCAGCAAGGGAGAGCAAGAAAGTTGGACGGTGACATTACTTTGGCCAATTTCACATGTTGCTACATGCATTTGTCAAGTTATTCAATTGTAAATGCATATACTAATTTTATTAAATCCTTTATTTTCTCTTATAATTTACAATCTTTGCCATCTTAAAATGTTGTATATTTTCCACATTAAAAAAGAACTTTACTAGGAGCATTTGATAAAACTCTCCACTATTGCTGAAATGACAATCTTCTAACTAATAGGCTACACTTTCCCCTACATTGCATTCTCTTCTCTTAATATTGTTTTCGCCGAACTGTTTTATATGTACTGCAATCACCACTTCCTTATTTTGTGCTGATGCATCGCAGTTTTAGGACTTGTGATTTTCTGCTTCCCCCTTGTTATTGTTTTTCTACAAGGAAGCTTTTTTCGTGACAGAATATAATATATTCAGTTTTAACATACTCTTTCTTTCTTTGCTTACAGAAGTTGCAGACCCTCCGACAGAGAAAAGCCCCGGTGGTTCAATAAATAGAGGTAAGTGTTCAAATAACTATCATTATAAATGCTTACATTCAGCTTCATTGTCTGGTATTGTTCTCTTAAACAGGCTTGCTTATTGACAAAATTCCCATCTTTTTCTTCAGATGCTGTTCTTGCAAGGGTTGAAACCGAGAAGCGATTGTCTTTAATAAGGGCTTGGGAAGACAGTGAAAAGGTCAAAGCTGAGAATAAGTATGTGCCCTTCATTGAGTGCTTCATAACTTGCTCCGAGGCTATTTCTTTTTCTCTATGTGCATATATAGCTATTCTTATAAAGCGAAAAAAAGCAGAAGTAGATAAAGAAAAAATGGGGAATCTGTCTTTGCTTTTGGACCAGCTTTACTGGCTACTTATGAACTCTCAAGTGTTTAAAGATTTTTCCAACGAGTAGCATTTTTGAAATAATTTTCTTTGTTACTTTAGTTTACATTTTTTTTTTTTGAAAAGATTCAAAGTTGTGAGCTGTCACTTTGTTTGTTAATGGTTAGGTGGATTTTATTATTGTAGGCACATAGAAAACCAAAAATCAACCCCAACTAGGATTAGACTAATGATGTTGATGATAACATTGTAAACTAAAACAGTCATGAATTTTGATAGAGAACCCACATTAAGAACTAAGATTGAGGTATATGTTCAAGAGAAGTTTTTCACATGAAGTCCTTTGTCTCACAGTTGATGCAAACAAATGCCAGATTGGGGGTGCTATCCATACTAATTTTGTTTTTAACTGTGTACCCTTCCTCCCAAATATGATAATCAGTAGTTTCAAAAATAATAAATAAAATAAAATAAAGATAATTAGCCTTGTGTGGTTTTTGTAGTTGTTTTCTAGAAACCTACATTTATGGAAAAAAACTTCCATGTGGTCATGCTTTAGTAATTTGTATCGGTATATGTGTCTTTGTGAGGAGAAATTATTATGTGCGGAGACCGGACGCAGAACATCTTCCAGAGGCCAACCAGAATGCGCCACATCAGCAGTAACGAGCACAGGGTGACATGGCACATTCTGGTTGGCCTCTGGACAACGTTCGGCCTCTGAACAGAATAATTAATCCTTTGCAAGGGAGTATGAAATCTATGAGGGCCAAAGTTGAACTCAGTGCATGAACTCTTTTTCAGTTTTAAAGTTTGAGCTTATGAGAGATGGAAAACTAGCTGGTAATTCTAGGCACACATATTTTTTGGCTCTTCAATACTAGATTAAACTATTAAATTGTGCAGCCTAACTTTTGTCCTAAGAAAAAAATGTGCTATGAAAGGTATCCAAAATTTGTGGATTATTTACTTTAGGGAATTTTGTGATGTTTATTGTAATTTAAGCTGCTCTTATTGTTTTCTTACAAAGAGGATGGTGCTATCTCTTTGTTGTAATTTTGCACAATCAAATCATTGTAAATTTGCAATGATAATGAGAGGATGTAGCTATCAATTAGGTGAACATATATAAAATTATGTTATTGTTCTTTAATATCTTTTTCTCTTTTTTTTTTGCTCTCTGTGTTTGAATAGGTTTAAAGTTCCAAGAGAAGTGCTACGGAGAGTTCTTGAAAAGAAAGGAGTTAATAATGCTTATATTCAAATCATTAAAGATATGTATGCAGGAGCTAGTACTTGTGTTCAAACACAAGGTGGTTTGACCAAGTATTTCCCTATTTCGGTTGGGTTACATCAAGGATCAGCCTTAAGCCCATATCTTTTTGCTTTAGTCATGGATGTTCTCACTAGACATTTGCAAGAGGATGTACCTTGATGTATGCTTTTTGCTGATGATATTCTTCTTATTGATAAGACTAGTGAGGGAGTTGAAGGTAAACTGGAATTATGGAGGTCAACTTCTTATTGATAAGACTAGTGAGGGAGTTGAAAGTAAACTTGAATTATGGAGGTCAACATTAGAGACTAATGGTTTCGATTGAGTAGATCTAAAACGAAATATATGGAGTGTAATTTTAATAGTAATAGACCTAGTGAGGGGATTGTGACTTTGGGCGATCAATTCATTGATAAGAGTACACGTTTTAGATATCTTGGATCTATTGTTCTGAGTGATGGTGAAATAGATGGGGATATTATCAGCAGAATTCAAGTTGGATGGTTGAAGTGGAGGAATGCATCGGGCTTGTTGTGTGCTAGAAAAGTACCCCTCAAACTTAAGGGAAAATTCTATAAGATGGTATTAGATTTGACTTATGTTAAGAAAGGTAGAGGCAGACCTAAAAAGACTTGGTTAGAAAATATTAGGAATGACCTTTTTTATTAGATTTAAGCAAGAATTTGACTTTTAATAACAATGGAGAAAAAGGATTCATGTAGCCGACCCCACGTAGTGGGATAAAGACTTGATGTTGTTGTTGTTGTCGTGTCTGAATAAGTTTGCTTATTTCCCCAACATAAACCCAATACTCTCACATCATTAATGGTTTTTATATTAAACAAATCAAACTTTCATATGGTTCTTGTTATATCATCTCATATATATGTTTTCAGGGCAATTAAGAAGGTATCAGCTATTGCTTCATGGGAGAACACAAAGAAGGCCGCTATAGAGGCTGAACTGAAAAAGATAGAGGTTTGATAGCTCTTAGCTCATCTTACTACATGATCAATTGAAGTGATTGATTTTTAATTTTATTGAACAAATTAATTTGTGAGAAATTTTCTTCTAATATATAAAAGTACAGCTCTTTTCATGGAGAAATTATTCTGTGTGGAGTTCGGACGGGAACAACCGTCCAAATATGTGAGTGTACACATTTGTACACAGTGTATATCAAATTTTTATGCACACTGTGTTCAGTGTGTACACTCATATATCCAAACAATTGTTCCCGTCCGGACTCCGAACGGAATAATTTCTTCTTTTCATGAGTTTGAGCACAAACACATTACGTTTGCACGGTCATCAGATTCCTTCCTAGTCGAAATAAATACCAACTTAACGAAAGTGTGACGAACAAGCAGGAAGCTCTGGAAAAGAAGAAGGCAGAATATGTAGAAAAAATGAAGAACAAGGTTGCTTTAATTCACAGGGAGGCAGAAGAGAAGAGAGCAATAACGGAAGCCAAGCGTGGAGAAGAAATTCTCAAGGCTGAAGAGACGGCAGCTAAATACAGAGCAACAGGACTTGCTCCAAAGAAGCTCCTTGGATGCTTCTGAGGACGCTGATGATTGATATTGTTATGTTGTTATGTTGATTTATTAAGAATAGTGAGTTCTGCCTAAGTTTCAGTGTGCTGTGTAAATTATCATGTTCTTGTATATACACAAGTAATTTGCCTGAACAAACTTTATTTATGTATTCTTTAATCCATGTTGTCTGAATTGATAATTTTCTCTTATTTGTAACATGTAACATACATATATCTGGAATATTGATCAAATGTTGGTCATAATGAACGATGTTGTGTTGTAATGTGATTCCTTCTACTTGTTTTAATGTTATAATTACAAATTCCTTGAATTTGATCTACTTGGATTCGAGTTACATCCATATTTGAATTGAGATGAGGTAAAATCAAAGGGTTAACTTGGCTGGAGATCAGATTGTTTGCAAGCCTGTGGGTGTGTTGATTTGTAAATCTTTTTAAATAGTGGAGAGCATTGATTTGGAAACAATTTAGTGGCTAATTAGTGCATTAATTAGGAGATTTGATTATTGCATTAAGTAAAATATTTGATTGATGCATTGATTAGGGGATTTGATTATTGCATAAAATTGGGAGATTTAATTAGCATGATTGGAAGATTAATCGGCATGATTAGATTTTGTCATATTATAACATTAATTGAAGTTTACTTTGTAGCTTTTTTTCAAATCTATAAATAGTGATGTAACGATTGTTGAAGTGAAAAAGAAAGAGCAATTATAGTTCTTATTTATTTTTGCACAATAGTGAAACCATCCACTCTTCGTGGACGTAATCATCTTCGTCGAAACATGTAAATCACCATATTTTTGGTGTTGATTGTGCTTTGATTTTGATTTTATTATTATTATTATTATTATTATTATTAGAGAAAAAAAGAAGAAAAAAAATTAAAAAAGAAGAGAAAAAAAGAAAAAAGTGAAAAGAAACGAGCAAAAAGAAATTTTGCATGATCACCGCTGTCGTCGTTAACTCTTGTTACAGTATAATGCTCCAAACTCAAAAAGGCCTCAAATGACAAATCTCGCTTTTGGTGCCTGCGGCTTGCTAGGGGACCACCTATGTACGCTTTTTTTAGTATGGTGGGAGGAACCTAGTGTACTGGGTGAGGTGGGTAAGCCTTGTGTATGCTTTTCTTAACCTAACAAAGCAAGATTGAAGTATTTATGAATGTGCTTCTATGACTGCGGGAAAAAAAAAACTACAAATTTTCACACATGTACTCTTAAAGACTCATGCAAGCCTTTTTTTTTTTTTTGCATGGTGGGATTAAAGATTATGGTTGCGTTGTTGTCTGACACCGACTATGCAAGTCTTTCTTGACATGTGTGCAAGCTAAGACTCCAAAATTTTTTCCTAAATGGGGTAGACGTTGGAAGGTTGCAAAAATTTGAGTTGATAATGCATAAGACTTAAACAAAATCACATGGAACCAAACTTGCAATTACAAGAACCAGAACCTAATATCTAAAAAAAGATCTGTAATTTACAAAATAAAAATTAAACATGCAAGTAGGGAAGTTGTGGCGGACGAAGCTCCAAGCAACATATGAAACCTCTAATGGATGTTATAATTTACACATAAACAACACATGAACAACAAGAAACTTGCAGTGTTCATGTCAGCCAGCCTACAAATTTGTCCAAATAATTTGAAAGCATCAACAAGGAGAGTTTTTGATGAATGTGTTGACTTATTGGAAAAACTCTAGATGAATATGCCAACTCACTAAAAGAATAACACAAGTAACGAACTTGTAATGTGACAGTCTCCCTACAAGTGATGTCAGCTAGTTTGCAAATACACACAACGGTCCATTTACAAGCTGCTACAAGGAGCTGTTGAGTGTTTATGGGCGATAGTGCAAGACATGCAAGTGAACACAGTAAGTTGCCGATCAACAAGGGTAGGAAAATCAACAATAAATACAGCTCATCCGATAATCAATATTGACATACAAGTGAACACACTAATCGATCTTCAAACAATAACATTCTCTACATTGTAAGCAAATACATCAAATGACCATGAATTTATCATGCATACAATGAGTCATTGATGGGGGAGATGATCGTAAAAAGCACACAATGGAGTATGTGTTAGCTCGCAAAGAAAGACTCCTAATGAACGTGGTAAATATGCCAAATGAGCTTTTGCTGAACTTGCCAATAAATGCAGTCTATCCACCACTACTATTAGTTGATTTATAAATAGAAGCACCGAACCTTTGTGAATAATAGGAATTAGCATACAAGAAAATGCGATAGTTGGCCAATGAGAATAAGTAATGAATGTACTAATCCACCTATGAATGATGACATTATATAGGTTATATGGAGAATATCCTACAAATACACTTAAGAAGCATGCAATGAATATAAATACATGTTAGTAATGACACAAAACTTATCGTATGCGCAATAAAATGTCTATGGGTGATAATCAGCAAGATGCAATAAATGCTATAATACCCTTATAGACAATAACAATTTAGTGTAAGGTAAATACATTGACCCCCGCAAGCGAAGGCGGTTGACATGCAAGAAATGCAAGCACCTATGAGTAGCATTGAAGGACTCATGATGCACCCGACAACCTGCCTGCAAGAAGTGGCAAGCAGAGCGACCCATAGAGTAGCGCTTTGCCACTGGATCTATAACACTCGTGCAAGCAGACAAAAGACATCTACAAGCATATAAATAGAACATTGTGCACACTTAAATGACCATCATTCGCATAGTTGATTAGTGTCAAATACTTTAAAATGTCCTCTCACATGTATTGCACAAGTAGAATATATCATTCAAGCATGTCATTTAGCATTGCAAGATGCATTACGCTGTAGTAGCGCATCACATTAACATGAAAATACACTGCACATACATACATTACAACATGCAGAACACAATATACAAGCATATCATCCAATATGCAAAGCATATTATGTCATAATAAGGCATCATATTGACTTGCAAATATATTATACATTATACGAATGCATTAAGCCACCACAAAAGGGGTTATACAAATATGCATACAACACAAAAATGCATTCTACAAGTATATCATGAAAATGCATCATATCATTCATACAAGTTCATTACACTATCTAGTGAATATACTATGACAACTATGCAAATTCACAACATCATTTATGGAAGCTTTAACACCCTACAAATACGTATATCATGCAAGTTATATCAAATACACCAATCATTCTGCGAATATAAATACATGCATAAGCCTCAATGAGTGTGACGTATAAAGACATGACATCTGAGGATGCTGCATTGATCAAGAAATGAACTTAAGTTCAAACCCGATCCTCTGTCGGCAAAGAGGCAAAGTCGACATGGCCTGAATCATCGAACAAATACATGATCATAGTGCCGACCAAAGTATTTTATTTTATACATTCGTATTAGACCTTCATGGTCTCTTATAAGGAAAATTCATATATCAAAATGAATATCATGGGTTCGAATATCCGTACAATAATTCAATTAATTAGGAGCTCGACCTACAAAAAAATTCGACAAGGTCCAATGAATGAAATGATCATATCCCCCATGACGGTCGTGTTGATAAAAAATCTCAACCTAAGGAGATTCAACCTTTCCAAATATTCAAAATGCCTCCAAATTCTCATAAAATATATTCAATTAATTTTAATGTATTCATGAATGATATTAGTGTTTAAAATTGAAATCAAACACCAAAATATTTAAAACAAATACTATTCCACCATTCGCAATAGTTTGCTGATGTGAACAAGTTTGAAAAGTACTTTAGCTCATAAAGAGCAAATTTCTAAACGTAAATATGAGTAAGATTGATTCTCAAAATGTCTTTTACCAATAAGGACGTGGCATGTGTCTTCTAACCAGTAGTTTTGTCGCCAAACGATGCCATATGTAAATAGTTATGACCGGGACTATCTGACCGGTTGGTTTTGTCATTAAATGACACCATTAAATTACGATCATGATTAGAGCCCGTATGTTCCCCAACGGTGCTAAATCATTGTATAATAAATCAACAGAATATGATTGATTGGGCACAAACTCTTTGTTAGCTAAGGTGAACTCAAATATGTCCCCTTAGACAAACATTCATTCTAGGCCTACAAGGTACCCTTGGACGAAACAACCAATGGATGCCGACAAGGATCCTTCAGCCTGGTTGGCTCGAATACCTACTCTCACTAAGCAGACTAGGGACCATGATAACCCAAGACGACGGAAGTATGTGATCTTGATTTAGTCTATCATCATTCCCCCTCACCATCCGCTTTAAGTAGAAGGTGGTGAATTTCTAAATTTAAATATTAAATTTTAAGATACCTAAACATGCTGCTATTATATGATTGATACTCTATATATGTTTGACGGCTAGCCTTAATCGAAAGTTCTCTCTCATTATCAGATGGGTAATTAACTATAGGGACTTGCTCCTATAGGAAACCTGAACTCATATCATAAAGTCTTCGCAAAATAAGGACGAAATCTCTGGGTAATGTCTTATCTAAAACCCAATATGCATTCTGAAAATTTACTTCAAAACTTACTCGTTAAAACTCTCCTCATTGACAAGAAAAATAGAGGGCCCACAGAGTGGCCAGAGCACAAATTTTAAGAGCTCACAAATTTCTGGTGACTCCACTTTGTTTTCTCATACTATAGTATTAATTAAAATTTCTTTTATAGCTTTATTTCAAATCTATAAATAGTAATGTAACGGTTGTTGTAGGGAAGAAGATATAGAGTCAAATTGAAATTCCCATTTATTTCTCGACAATAGTGAAATCATCCCCTACCAGTAAACGTAGGCATCTTCGACGCACCAAGTAAATCACGTGTTTTTGTGTTAATTGTACTTTGATTCTGATTTTGTTTCTGCTATTTGCACTACAATGAAATCATAAAACTTGTTAAAAGTAAAATAAATAATGATATGTTAAAAGTAAAAATAAATAATTATTTGTCAACCACCTATCAGACTAGTTGGTGTCATGTAGCTTTCACAAACTATAAGTGTAACCAAAAGCGGTACAAAATAAAAATAAATGGAAGTCATTCTCACCTTTAGTAGAGTCCTAATCAAAAAATCATAGACATTAATGCAACCACACAAAAAAAATGTATGAGAAAAGCATAAAATTTTGATGCATCCTATTTTTTGTTATTGATATTTCTTCTATAAATTAAAAGACTTTTTGTTTAGAATAAAGCAAAAGAAAAGTGATTATTTTCACTATAAAAAGTAAAATA